ACATAATATATATTTTTTAATCATATATGGTTGAATCATATTCACCAGGGTAAAACATCATGAGCTAGATTAAACAGATTGCCCTAATATCTAACTTTGCCTGCAACGCACACCTGTTTCATTGCTGTTAATTTTTCAATCCACACTGGGGGGGGGGTCAGAAAAGTTTCTACTTTTATGAGGGGGGAGGCACAAAAAGTTTGCCTTCAGTCTGGAGGAGGGGGGGGGTCAAAAAAGTTTTCAATTCTTATTTTCCCCATTTCCCAACCCCCACCCCTCCCCATAAATAATGACCACTCCCTCAGAAAGTTTTCTCTGGAAAATTGAAACAGTGATAGCCATTCATCTCAGTGTCAAGTACCCTTTTAATGCAATGTTTTGAAAGAAACGTTGTAGCAATTGTAATGAAGGGTGATCGAGATTGGAGTCATACAGTCATAATTCATTAATACTGGTATATATGTACACTACATGCTTACCTGTTGTACAATAAGCCCTAACTTTCCATGGGGGTTGTGAGCTAGACCGCTGCACCTCCCCTAAAATTTTTTCCACCTTCCCCACTATTTTCACCAAAATCTGGCCTTGATCTAAAATTAGTCTATAATGGGAATTGTCTATTTACATGAACATAAGAGACTTTTTGGTTGACTTCCATTTATGAATATTAAAGTCTATAAACATTGTTATTTGTTGTTAAGTTGTTTTGTTACATTTTTAAAACTGTTTTTCAAACTGGTAAATCTTTTCAAAGCCCCCCATCTTTCGTCTCTCTGTAATTTTTCAAAGCCCCCCTTTCAGTATTTCACATTTCACGCCAACAAATATCAAATTGACCATTCACCACGGCTCACGAAAATACCCTTTCCCACCCTCATGTATGTATGTTGACCGAGTCAGAACGAGCTTGGTTACATGAAGTAACGATATTGCTTTATCCAGTGCTGTATACAGGTCAGTGGCTCAGACAACTTCGGATTGTCCCGATGTTCGCCCGAAGAGCATATTCTTATTTAATTTCATGGGCGCACCGGG